ATATATATATATATATATATATATATATATATATATATATAAAAACAGTAGGTTTAATGCAATATTGATCGTGAGAATTCCGCTTGCGTAGTGATCAAATGATCATTTTTTTACGAATTGTGTCTGGTATGACCATCAGCCATCACCGGAAGCACCGCCGGCGGCGGATGCGGAAACGGAAGCGGCGGAGGAAGATGTGGAAGCGCAGATGAAGCCCTGTCCGTGTCTTCCGGCCGTGAACGCCGCGCCGCCGCAGCGTGACGAGGAGACGCACGTGGTGTGGTCGTGGTGCAAGCTGCTGCTCAGCTGGGCGCTCTTCATCATGTCCTTCCCGTTCGTCTGCATGTTCACGTGGACGATACCCGACTGCTCGAAGGAGCACAACAGGTAGGCGCGATGATTGGCCCGACTGCCGTCGCTCCTTACCCGTAGAGGTTAATCAGGGAAGTGGCCTGTCTGATATAATGGCATAATATGTACGGATAAAAATGATGCTCCAGCGCACACATACACGTGCATATTTACAAGAGTACATAATAGGGACTTCTTCATGTTCGCCCGTTAATAGTAGACTCATCGAAACTACATGTGTAAATAATAAGAAGAGAGGGGACCACTGGTGTGTATATATAATATATACACCAGTGGTCCCCATGCATATATATGTATATATATATGTGTGTGTGTGTGCGCGCGCGCCTGCGTGCGTGCGAGCGTGCGTGCGTGCGTGCGTGCGTGCGTGCGTGCGCGCCTGCGTGTGTGTGTGTGTATGTGTATATATAAAATATGCCCTCGATGTTGCCACTGAGCTCCATCATGTCTTTCAACAGAAAATGGTTCTGGGCAAGCTTTCTCATGTCTGTGATCTGGATTGCCATGTTGAGCTTCGCGATGGTGTCGTTCGTGGGCAGAACTGGCTGTCTCCTTGGTATCGACCCATACACGATGGGCCTCGTCGTCATAGCCGTCGGAACTAGCGTACCGGTATGCACGATTACTTATATACTAGTAGCTATATTGTACAGTGCATATACGTTCTAACCCAGTAGTAGTTAATAAATTTTCAGTCGCTGCTGCTGCTGTTGTTGTTGTTGTTGTTGTTGTTGTTGTTGTTGTTGTTATGTGTGCACACAGCACACGTAAATGGGAGTCTAGGCGTGGCTGAGAGCACCTAAACGCTAGATCGTATATCCCTTTAATGTAATATAAAGCGTCTCCTGATTCGAGATGGTTTATCTAACCAGTAAAGCGTGCTGCCTTAATCTCCGCCTCTGCTCTCTTCATAGGACTGCATTAGTTCAGTGCTGGTCGCGCGAGACGGATACGGGGACATGGCCGTGTCCAACGCTATCGGCTCAAACGTATTCGACATCAACCTTGGCATCGGTCTGCCGTTCATCATCGGAATGGCGATCGACAAAGGACGGCCCATACACCTTCTCAACAAACAAGAGCAGGTACTGCTTACTCTCACACGCGTCTACGTGCGTCGTCGCATTATATTATACGTCTGCGTCGCAGTATCGACGGCGGAGTAAAACCGGTAGGGCTCGGCGACTAGTCGCGAACATCTGTGCGCGTCAACGCGTTTGGTTATATGGGGGCGGCGGCATGACACGACGGTGACAAGTGTGTGGCGACGACGTCGTATCTGACTATTACTTCCGCTCATAGGGTCTATGTCCCCCAGGGTACTGCCGGAACGTACCCTGGGTACGGTCCGGTATACCGGAACGTACTCTGGTAACTATCTGATATGGTTAGGGGTAGGGTTAGGGAGTAGGCGTAGGTGACTCCCTAAACTCGTTAGTGGAGTAGGCGAAGTACGGTCCGGAATATTAGATAGTACCAGGGTACGTTCCGGTATACCGGACCGTACCTAGGGTACGTTTCGGCAGTACCCTGGGGGACATAGATCCTATCAGCATTACTTCCAATTATTTCTCCACTCGCGCGTGGGATGTCTCTCAGTTGTCACACACAGTTGTTATTTGTCACTCGCGCACGCCCTAGAAATATTGACCCCTCGTATAGTGAGGGCGTGCCAGGTGACAACGCGGAAGTTACGATACACCCGTGTTGGCCATCTCATTTGTTCGTGCACGTGCGTGCGTGCGTGTGATCGTGTGCGTGTGTGCGTGCGTTCGTGGCACAGATACAAATGCCCTCCCTATAAGTTGCGCAATTGTGAGCACACGAGTTGGTTCTTCCTACTACCTGCTATCAGTTGCCTGCTTGCCTACATGTCTGCCTTCTTGTCCTTCTGTCCGTCTGTCGGTATGTGTGTCCGTCTGTCTGCCTGCCTGCATGTAAGTCTGTCCAGATATATTGATGGATGGATAGATGGGTAGATGGATGGATGGATGGATGAATGGATGGATGGAAGAAATGATGAATGGATGGATGGATGGATGAATGGATGGATGGATGGATGGATGAATGGATGGATGGATGGATGGATGGATGGATGGACGGATGGATGGATGAATGAATGAATGGGTAGGTGGGGGATGGATGGATAGATGGATGGATGAATGGATGGATGGATGGATGGATGGATGGATGAATGGATGGATGGATGGATGGATGGATGGATGGATGGATGGATGGATGGACGGATG